CACACACGGGATCTATCTGTGCATCTGTGTTCTGGGTTCAGGCACTTGTTTTGGCCAATCCCAGCTCAAATCTTGATACTGCGTGTGGTCCCCTGAGCACTATCAGGAATGCATAGAGGAAGATGTAAGACCTGAGTACCTCTGGTGTGGCCTCCCAAACCTAAAATATTTATAAAAAAAAAAAAAGGTCAGGGATCAGAAGAGTGGTACAGGGATGAAGGCACTTGCCTTGTAGTCAGCTGACACCAGTTTGGTTTTCTACACCACAGTCTCCTGAGCAAACCAAAATCAAATTGAGATCAGTACTGTTAAAAAATAATTCATGTTGTATCATTATATGACTGAAATCTGATCATGAATAGCTTTGTAACTGTGTATCTCGTATGACTATAAAAAAATAAAAGTGAAAAAAATATAGACGCTGACAGGGGAGTGCGGGGGGGGGCAGATTCCATACTTTACCTTTTTTAGGCTCTCTTATAGATTTTCTGATATGAAAGCTCATTCTGTATTTGCTGTTTTGTTTATTAAGGGGGCACACACAGCAGTGCTCAGGGGTTACTCCTTGCTTTGCACTCAGAAATTACTCCAAGTGGTGTCCAGGGGACAATTTGGGTACACACAGGGATGAACTCAGGTCAGGTTCTTATAAGGCAAGTGCCCTGCCTGCTGTACTATCGCTCTGATCCCTGTGTTTTACTTAATAAATGATTTCTTAATTTCTTTTTCAGTAAATTTTAATTTTATCCAGAACTTACTGAGATGTTTTTGTTTAAAAAAAAAATCTGGGGGCTGGAGCAATAGCACAGTGGGGAGGGTGTTTGCCTTGCATGTGGCCAGCCCAGGTTCGATTCCCAGCATCCCATATGGTCCCCGGAGCACCGCCAGGAGTAAGTCCTGAGTAAAGAGCCAGGAGTAGCCCCTGTGTATTGCCGGGTGTGACCCAAAAAGGGGGGGGAAATCTTTATTGGAGTGATAGTACAGCAAGTAGGGTGCTGTACTATTTGCCTTGTATGCAGCATTGGTGTTTGATTCTCCGCATCCCGTTGGTTGCCTTAGCCCATCAGGCCTCAAAACCAAAGAACAGTGGGACTGGAGTGATAGTTTAGTGGGCTGAGTGCATGCTTTGCATATTGGAGATCTGGGTTTGATCCCTGAGCACTCCTAGGTGTGGCCTCAAGGTGAGAAGATTAAACAAAGCGTCATTTAGAGCTGAAAGCTCAAACCTATTTCACTCCAGGCATACTAATTAGTAATCATATTTCTATGTTCCTTAAGTCTCTTAATTCTCCATTTTACACCACTGGTTTGTTCGTAGGACTGGAGTTGGTTGGCCTGCATATTATCTTCTAGATTTGTCTATTCTTTATAGTATTTGATTTTTAAAATTATTTCTATTATTTGTGGCATTTCCTGGGCTGGAGCGATAGCACAGTGGTAGGGCATTTGCCTTGCTCGCAGCCAGCCCGGCCGAGCCGGGTTCTATTCCTCCGCCCCTCTCGGAGAGCTTGACAAGCTACCGAGAGTATCTCGCCCGCGTGGCAAAGCCTGGCAAGCTACCAGTGATGTATTCGATATGCCAAACACAGTAACAACAAGCCTCAAAATGAAAAGACATTACTGGGCCCACTCGAGCAAATTGATGAACAACGGGAGGACAGTGACAGTGGCATTTCCTAAAATACCCTTCTGTATAAAGCTTCTTGTGACTTCCTGTTACCTGCAGAGTAAATGGTAATTAAAAAAAAGGGGGGGGGGACCATACCCAACTACTGATCACTCTGAGCTGTGCCTGGGGGACCATATGAGGTGCTGGGGATTAAATCATGGTTTTTCTGGGACCAGAGTAGTAGCTCAGTGGGTAGGGTGTTTATATTGCATGCAGCTGATTTAAGTTTGATCCCTGGCACCACATATGATCTCCCAAGCCCCTCCTGGAAGGAGGGATCTCTGAGCACAGAGCCGGGAGTTAGCCCTCAGCACAGCCGGGTGTGGCCCCAAGCCAAATATATTAATAGTAGTTACGAACATGGACTTGGCCGTGGTTCTGTGGCAGAACACCTGCTGCGCGTGTATTAGCTCCATTAGGTCCTGTGTTTGATCTGTGGCACCAGTAAATGAAAGCAGCAGTAGAAAGAACTCTGGAGCCCAAGCTGTCGGCTTCAAGGCCGTGCTTCATCAGTGACTGACTGAATCTCCAGAATCTGCTTTCTGATTCGGTGTGGATGGTGAACAGTGCCAGAGTCAGAGGTTGTTCTGAGCGTGTCAGTCACCGTGACGGTGGCGCCCTCAAAAGAATGCCAGCTGCACAGAAAGTGCTGTGTATGCATGTGTTAAATGGCACATTCTAGCTGAAATCTCTTCAGAACAGCTCATTTCCCGGTGCTTTTACTCATAACTTTTTCACTGTGCTTTTTCTCTTCCTTCCTAGAAAAGTTTGACTTCATCAGATATTTAAATGATAATCAGAATCTCAGCCAGAATCCCAGCCTTCAGGAAACGTCCCTCTCACACAGATACAGGGAGAGCTACACGGTGTGGTAGGGATGGCAGGTGTGAGTTCAGCGGCACAAAGGTAGCATCTGGGACATCCTGGGAAGCCTCGAGGAAAGCAAGCCCTAAGCGGAGAGTTGAGGAAAGAAAAGGCTGTTTCAGTGTCACAGGTGACACTCAGAAAAGTAGAGTGAGCAAGAACTTTCAGGGGAGAGTGGGCTAACACAGACCTTCCCAGGTAAGCAAGAACCAGGTTACTTGAAGGACCGAGAAGTGCTCACATTGGACCTTCTTCAACCACTGCCAGTTTGTATCTTTCCAAACTGCTTCATCCAGCTTCTTTCATTCCTCTGAATATTTTTTTGGTTTTGTTTTTGGGGCCGTACCCTGCATTGCTGGGACTGTTCCTGGGGGAATCATTGGGTGGGAATTGAACCCAGGGCTCCAGCATGCAAGGCATGTGCTCCAGTTCTTTGAGCCCTCGTCCCTCATCACGTCTTCGCTGTGGTGGCGAGGGAGGGTTTGCCTTGAAGAGAAATGGCAATGGGGTGGCTTGGATGATTCCTTGGGAAAGTAGAGATAGGATAGGGATCCGAGGAGGGCACTCTCACGGTGGAAAGTGCTTTCAGTCGTATGTGAGCCCTTGATTCCATTGCTGCTACTGCAGAAGAACAACAGGACCTGAGTCTGATACGGACAATACAGTTTAGATTTTTTCCCCTATAGATAAGTAGAAAGCATTGAAGATTGTTCAGGATGGGTTATCATAGAAAAGGATGATTCTGAGAGAGAAATCAAGGTCTGTAGAATTAATGAATGTGAACCTTTGAAAGTAGAGATGGGAAGAGAAGGTGGGGTCCGGCTCATCAAAGAAGAGTAATGTGTGGCAAGGAGTGTGAAATCCACAGATTCGATATGAGAAAGTTGATAATATTTACATAGTGGTTGGTTTTGGCAGTGTTCAAGACTTATTCCTGGCTCTGTGCTCAGGGATCACTCCTGGTGTCGCTTTAGGTATCTTTTGGGGTGTTGAGGATCAAACCCAGATTCTCCTGCTGTACTATCCAGTCCCTAGGTTACATGTTTTAAGTACAAAAATACGGAGCCGGAGCGACAGTCCAATGGGTAGGGCACTTGCCTTGCACGTAGCTAGCACAGGTGTGGCCCAGAGAGAAAGAAAAAAGAAGTATAAGAAGTCTTAAAGTTATGGTGTTACATTGGAGCTAAGTTAGAGTCAGTCTCAGAATTTTTACTCAAGTTGATCTGGATTGGTTTAAATACATTTTTGAGAGAACTTAATATTTCAGATAATGACTTCTTCTTTGTTGTTGTTGTTTTGTTTTGGGGTCACCCCTGACAAGGCTTGTTTCTGGCTCTGTGCAAGGCATATGCTGTACCCATTGTACTATCTCTCTGGCCCCATGATTTCTGCTTTCATTGTGAAAAGCACGAAAGATTATCAAGAGTAAGAAAGTATGTGGGCCTTGACTTGAATGGTGAAAAATCTGAAATAGCTTGGAGCCAGTTAGGAAAGATGCAGCTTTAGGGCATGTGACCATGGACCTTTTTAGATGTTGTTGTTGTTGTTGTTTTGTTCACACCAGCAATGCACAGGGACTACTCCTGGCTCTGCACTCAGGAATGACTCCTGGCGGGACTCATGGGACCCTATGGGATGCTGGGAATCGAACCTGGGTCAGCCTTGTGTAAGGCAAACACCCTACCCGCTGTGCTACCGCTCCAGCCCCATGGGACCAGTTTTAAGAGATCAGTTTATGTGGTTTTAATCCTTCTTGGTGTGATTTCGGTGCCCCACCGCCTACATCTTTAGTTGAATCCAGAGATGAGGGAGCTTAGGTTCATGAATGATATCAGAACTATTTGATGAATAGACTATTTTCGATAATTAGAGGAGGGTAAACAGTTTGACTCACCCACATTCCCATTGGATTCTGAAATCCTTGTTCTTTCCGCTAACCCTGGTGTGTTTATAATAAGTTTAGCTTATTTAGCTCGTTTTTTTTTCTCTTTCAAAATTGTTTGGGATAACATTTTTATTTTAGTTGCTCCAGGGTTAACCTCAAGTTTGCTTGGGAGCCACACCTGGCAGTTCTGTGTTTACTCCTGACTCTGTACTCAGGGACCACTTCTGGCAGGGCTCTGGCGACCTGATTGGGTGTTGGAGATAGTCCAGGTTGGCCACATGCAAGGCAAAGCATTTTCCCTGCTGTACTGTTGCTCCAGCCCCGAGAGTTAACTTTTGATGTCAAGCATCTATGAAGTGAAGTAGAAATGTACTTGAGAAGTAACTGGAACAGAAACATCTAAACCCGTCCCGGTTCCGGACATTAGGCTCAGTCCCATGATCTAGGATTTATTTGTCTGTGCAACCACCCCTCGTGCACATAATTGCATTTACACAGTTTGAAAACGTTGTATTTGGAATAAGTTGAAGCAAATATAAATTGACTTACTTGGTTTTATATATTGTCTTTTGTTGTCTCTAGCTGCCTACCCTCATCGTTTGAATCTCTTTTACCTTGCCAATGATGTCATACAGAACTGTAAAAGGAAAAATGCAATCATATTCCGTGAGTCATTTGCTGACGTACTTCCTGAAGCAGCTGCTCTGGTGAAGTAAGTAAAATATTACTGTTCTGGGAGGTAGAAACTTAGAAAATTTAGAATTTTGGTTTTCCTTTATACCCACAAGTAAGAACTGTTACAGTTGTACATGCTTAGAGAGATTCCATGGATGTTTGGCCCAAATTATTGAGTATAATATTCACTTTTCTTTCAGGAACTCTTGGTTCCCCTTTCAAAGCTTATTGATTATTGCTTCTGTGTCTTTCTCTTCTAAATTCACCTTTTACCTCTCCTGATCATACTTCTCTGGCTCTGTTTTCTGACTGTTCTTTTTTGTGTGTATTTTGCATTTTGCATTTTTAAAAATGTCTTCCTGAAATCTTGCCTTCTCCATGAAATATGTAATTGGAAATGCTTATATTCAGACCTGTTATGCATTTTTGTACATTTTCCAAAGTGCTAGAAGATTTTTGCCCCTGTTTAATGGTATTTCTTTGTATTTTTTCATATTTGTGATTGGTGCACACATGCACAGTCAGAACATAAACAGTTATCTGGACTGTAGGAACCCCTTTCTGACTTCCACAGGCCAGACACTAGCACAGATATATTGGTCTGTTTTGTTGTTCAAGGTCCCCTCCTAGTGGTGCGTGGGGATCGTGTGGTTTGGGGATTGCAGCAGGCCTCCTGTGTGCACCCCAACCCTTCGAGTTCGCTCTTCAGCTGTATTTGTATTTTTTGACCCTGTAGGTAGGATAAACCAGTCTGAATGGAAGTCTTTAACTTGCAATATCCTGATGATTCCTTTGTATAGTACTGCTGTCTGTCAGTAATGGTTTTTAATTTTGAGTATACTTTTAGTTCTTTGTATTAAAAAAAGAAAATTTGTATTTTTGTTTTTGAGCGGCACCTAGTGATGCTCAGAAATTACTTCTGGCTCTGTGCTAAGGGATCACTCCTGGTGGCGTTTAGGGGACCGACCATATGGGATGCTGTGGATTGAATCTGAGTTCTGTCCCCTAAGCTCTGATCCCTGAGTGCAGACCTCGGTCTGGGTCGCCTGCGTGTAAAGCAAGAGCCTTACCCACTGTACTGTCTCACCAACCATAGTATATTAAAATTGGTGGTGGTGGGGGGGGGTTATGGGGAGTTTTTTGTTCTACGTGATGATTCTTAGGGCTCGCTTCTGCCTCTGAACTTGGGTCAGTGGGCCATATGGGGTGCTGCGTGCAGTGTGAGGGCCTTAAGCCCTACACTGTCTCTCCAGCCCCTCTCTGAAACCATCTTAAGTTAGTGAAGGATCGCTTCAGAAACCTGGGTCAGTGCCGGCTTAAACAGTGGAGCAGCCAAAGCATTCTAAGACAGGAATGCCCTCTGTCACGGCTGTTGGCCACCATACCAGAGCACCCGGTATCTGGTAAATAAGAGCATGTTAGGAGAGAGAATCATGCAGAGAGTCACCTGTAATATGAGATGGTCATATATGACCTAATAATATAATCTGTTAGTGTGCCAGCAGCCTCAGGATCTCTGTTGCCCTCCTCAGCACTGCCATTCCATCGTAAAAACAGCCATGTCTGCCATATAAAGCAAGGGGCATGACTAGATCAGAACAGACTTCTTTTGCAATAAGAAGTGCTCCCTCAACCCCTCGGCTCCACTAAAGAAACAAACCCAAGAATTGAATGTGTTGGGCTGGAGTGATATAAGGGTAGGGTGCTTTATTTGCACATGACTGACTTGGGTTCAATCCCTGGCACACCGTATGGTCCCCTGAGCCTGCCGAGGAGTCAGGAGAAAGGCCTGAGTACTGCTGAGTATGGCCACAGAATAAAAAGAAAGAGGAAGAGTGTAAAACTTCTGTAAAGAAAATTATTGATTACAACTTTATTTTTTTTGATTTTTTGTTTTTAATTATAAATGAAGCTTTTACTAAAGGATATTTAAAAAGACGGGTCTTGGGGCCAGAGAAATAGTACAGTGGGTATGACATTTGCCTTGCATATGACCAACCTGCTGCCCTCCCCACTGTACTGTCTATCCAACCTCTCCCAGACCTCAGTATGGTTTAATGTAACAGTTAATTAAAGAATTTTGTGTGTGTTGGCTAGTAGGGATTGAGCCACAGGCTCACATGCACGTGAAACGTATGCTCAGCTGCTGACTTCCATTCTTTTGGTTTTGTTTTGAGCCATACCCAGCGATGCACAGGAGCTAATCCTAGCTCTTCGCTCAGGGATCACTCTTGGCAGTGCTTAGGGGACGAGGTCCAGGTTGACTGCGTGCACGGCAGACACCCTACCAGCTGTACTATCAACCTATCAACCCTACCTTCTTGAGCTCAAGATCTTTTTCTATAGGCGCCAAAGGAGGCCATGTTAAGGGGGCAGTGTGGTGCTTGGAACGGGACTCGGGTCTCTGAGCTTGGCCTGCACTCTACTACTTGGACTAGTTTCATTGCCCAAAGATGGTTTTCTCTGGAGGGGCTCCGCAACAGTGCTCAGGGGACATTCCTGGTACCACTTGGCTTTGTGCGGGCCCAGTGGTTCAATGCTTGGGCCAGGGATGTGTCAGTGCCCAGTCATAATGGTACTTGGAACAGTGCTTGGGTTCTAACTTTGCGTCTCAGTGCCCTCCAGCCCTTTGAACTATCTGCCCGGGCCCCCAAGGTAATATTTTTTGTTTGTTTCTGGGCCATACCAGCAGTGCTTACGTCTTAACCCGTGGCTCTGTGCAAAGGGTTCATTCCTAGGAGGACGTAAGGGGACCCTATGGAGTGCCTGAAATTGAACCCAGGTTGGCAATGTTCAAGGCAAGTGCCTTCCTTGCTACAGCAAGTCCAGTCCCCCAAAGTAATTTTTTTTTTTTTGGTTTTGGGTCATACTGGTGTTGTTCAGGGGTTACTCCTGGCTCTATTCTTGGGGATCACTCTTGGCAGGGCTCAGTGAACCAGGGTATTGAACCCGGGTTGGCCAAATGCAAGGCAGTGCCCTACCCTCTGTACTGTAACTGTGCCCCTAGTTATTAACACATATTTTAATGAAATAGGGCCAGAGTGATAGTACAGCGGGTAGAGGATTTGCCTTGCATGCGGCCAACCCAGATTCTATCGCCAGCATCCCATATGGTCCCCCGAGCACCACCAGGAGTGATTCCTGAGTGCAGAGCCAGGAGTAATCTCTGAGCATCGCCGGATGTGACCCAAAAAGCAAAAGTAAATAAATAATGCAGGAGGAGGAATACTTTTGAACTGATACATTCCTATAAAGAAACTAGCTATATATGATGTGCCATAGACAGTCCTCCAGACCCTGTGCCAGGCTGTTTCATCCAGGGCAACCTGGAGGGGAGTGGGTGAGTTCTCCTCCTCGCCCCAGCAGAGCCACTCCTGCCGGAAACCCTCCGGAACTTAAATCACTACCATGCTCATGCCACTCTCCACACGCTTGAATGAGCCTCATCCCTGAGTGAATGTATTCCTGGACTGTGTGGCCGCATTTGCAGCTGCATGACATCTCATACTTTACATCATTGATATACCAAGAGTAACACCCCACATTTGATGGAGTTTAAAGTAGAACGAAGGCAATCTTAGGGGGAAATATATTTATACAAATACGGGCGTGAGCGTGCACACGCACGCACACACACACACACACACACACAGTTCAATCTTTAACATGTTACTAATCCCGTATAGAAGGGCTTAGTGACTCCTGGTGAATTACAACAATCTTCACACACTTTCCTCTAAGAAACCTTTTTTGGATCTTTTTTAGTGGATTATTCATAACACGCAATACAAAATAAATCACTTCGTTTCTGCTTTGGGGCAAGGTTTGGAGTTTGGAATGGAAACATTGAAAATATGGTGTTGGGAAGGTGTAATGGTTGTGGGATTGGGTTTCAAATATTAAATGTAATCAAATATTGTGAACAACTTTATAAAAATAAAATCCCAAAAAAACCTAGCTGTAAATGAGGATATTCAGGTAGGAATTCCGGTATTAGCCATGTCCTAACCATGTAACCGGATGGTATAATATGTGTTGTTATGCGGCCTCTTAATGAGTTGTTTCTTTCTGTCTTGTGGTGCTGGGGATTGAACCGAGAGCGTTACCCAAGCAAAGAAAGTGCTTCTCTTGCTGAGCCTGTTCCTGGCCCCTTAGTCTCAGCGCCTTACATTCTTGTAATTCACTTCTGGTGATGTCCACACGGTCGTATCCTGGAGATACGACACTTTAGGAGCACAGGCTTTGGAATCAGTGTACATAGATTTGAATTCTGGTTCTGTTCCCTTTCAGCAATCTAAATCAACTTCAGTTTAGCCAATAATAATTAAATGATGACTTTATGGCTCAAAAAAATGCCTTCCTGTTTTGCTTATTTGCTTCTCAAGCCAACTATTGACAATAATAGGGGTAAAGGATTATTGTCCTCATTTTATAGGTGAGGATACTGATAATAAAATAATATAAAACTGCCTCAGAGGCCAGAGGGAGTGCAGAGGATAAGATGCTTGCCTTGCAGGCAGCAGACCCAGTTTGATCACTGGCACTGAATAGGGTCCCTTAAGCCTCGCTGCCACCAGGAGTGATTCCTGAGTGCAGAGCCAGAGTAGAACTGGAGCACTGGGCAGATGTGACCCCAAAACCAAACCAAACTAAAAACCTCTAATCAAATCTCTTTTTTTTTTCTTTTTGGGTCACACCCGGTGATGCACAGGGGTTACTCCTGGCTCTGTACTCAGGAATTAATCCTGGCAATACTGGGGGACCCTATGGGATGCTGGGAATCGAACCCAGGTCGGCCGCGTGCAAGGCAAACGCCCTCCCCGCTGTGCCATTGCTCCAGCCCCTAAATCTCATTCTTTTTTTTAAATTTTGTTTTTATGTTAATGTAGGAGTATTGCTATTTATTCAGCCACTGATTAGGCTGTCAAATCTCATTCTTCCTTCCAGTCCTTCTCATCAGCTCTTCCATGTCTCGGTATGAACCCGTGCTCCAACCACAGCCTCAGAGTATGTGTAGAGATGGGAAGCAGCCAGCCC